CACATTGCTACTGCCGGCCATGTGGTGATCCCCGATACCAGAAGATGGCGAAGAACCGTTCTGCTTGCTGGAGAATGAGACATCTTCACCAAATAGAGAAAGGGCAGAGCTGCGCGTGGAAGTGAAGAAAAGAAGGAGCCGATGATTCGGCTTGCAGTGCCCACGTGTCTAGACCACAAGACGGGTCGCTAGTCAGGGGTACTTGGAGAAATTCGAGGAGAGCTGTATCGGAGTCTAGGAAGCCCTTCAACTTTGAAGCAGCCTATGGCAGTCAAAAATACCACGCTGTTGGCCGTGAACGGTGTGGCATAGTGGGGTCTCGAGCGAGCCAAATATGTGTAAGAAGGTCGGTGTCGATTATGGCGGTCTCACGTCCAGCGCTAGTTCCAATCCGGGCAGAGGCTGAGCTTGGTAGGGGCGGCTCTCGTGACATGAAGTGCATTCAGATAATAGATTCGACGCAGCCCGTCAGCGCTAGCAAGCGGGACCATTCGAAAGGGGGATCGAAGCTGTAGGCCGCTAGATAGAAGTGATCATTCTCAAGTATTGGATTGTGGAAGGGACTCCGAGAGCGCTTAGATCCAATCCTCAAGGGTGGCGCTGACAATAATACATCGCCGGAAGATGGGTGTTAATCTGTTTTCCTGGCGTTTGGTCATGCGATCCGGAATTAGGGCGGAATAGGATATTGCCCGTTGTCTGATCAAGCAAAAGAAACTCAAGCCGAGCCTTTGTCTCCGAGACGTCAGAATCATCTGGCGACGAGGGGAGACGAGTAAGTGTGGACGTCCGTTGACGGCCGCTTCTCCTCATTTTTGGTTCTGTGCTATTCGGGGTGGACGACGTATATGATCTCGACTGCGGGGATTCCGACAAACGGCACTCAAAATCCATCACCTCGTACGGAGTCTTTTTTTCTGTTCTTTTGGTACTTGTGAGTCGGACCAATCCCTCAAACCGCTGATGTGTTGTAACCAATCAGATGCCTGGCCCTGATGGGTGTGATTTCCCAATACGAGAGATTCCGACTTGTCATTTCCTGCATGACTGCTGCTGCGAGGAGACTCAGTGCATGCATATCTGACAGAGGAGCAGCTCGGCATTAGTCGACCCAGATTGTAACCCCAGGAACAGGCAGGAGACGCCCGACTGTGCCCGCCGTTGAGACAAAGGCCGAAATGTCCAGAAAAGGGGCGCTAGCATCGTTGGAAAGGAGACGGACAAGAAAGGCTCGGAGGCAGTAGATGGCATGTGGCGTGGCTAATTAAGGCTGACCATGACCATTTGCTCCAAGTCGCTAACTCGATTGCGCTATTGAACTCGGCGGACGGCTAGCGGTTCGAATAGAGTTAATCGGTGGTCTGAATAGCGCGCGCCAGTGGCCGATGTGTGACAGACGGCTGGGACTGGCGCCCGATGAAAAAACCTCGGTAGTCATCGTGATCCACCCGGTGGCTTCACCTCATCGCCATTGCCTGGTTAGTTATGATTAACAAAGGATGCAAACAAAATTGGTTTGGCTGACTCTGGCGCACCTGTTGGAAAGCTCGTGACCGCAGACGAGCAGCAGCATTCAGAATCCTTGCTATTCTCGATCAGGGGTCATAGCATGACTATCAAGCCATTGTTGCTGAGTGGGCGAGCGATAAGGTTATCTCGGCGAGGGGCAATCCATGTGCTGGACAGTGGGAGGGAGGGTGGTCAGCATGTATGCAGCCGTAATTGGCTCATCCGTGATTCCAGCTATCAGCGCACTGTGGTTGACGCCGTTTTCGCCCGGGGGGGCAGTTTGCCGATGAACAAGAGAGCAAAAGGGATCGGTCTGTTTCTGAACCTCCGGAAAGCGCCCGATGCCTCTGCCCGATGTGCAACGGCAAAGCATCTCTGATCATGCTGCGTTGGCGGGGACTCTGAGGCTGGCTGGGGTGCTGCGATGCGACGCTGGCTGGTATCTTGTCTACCGAAAGGGCTACTACGTAAGTCGAGCTTGGAATGTGCCACAATGGTCAGGACCTATAGTCTCGGCACTGACGATTTACGCAGTACCGGTAGTCGGTACCGCCATGCTGGAACGTGGCGGCTCCGACTGATCATGCTTTTTGATGGTGATGAATTCTGCCAACGGCGCCGGTCCCAACGAACCGGGACAACGCTCTGTTCTTGCACGTGTGCGCAGCCTTACACTATGTACCTAAACTGCTTCATCTCACTCAAAGGCCGATACTGTATTGCAATTGTGTGAGCTGTCTGGTCAAGCAAGGTAACGGAGGTGACGGCAGGCTAGATGGCTGGTTGAACCGAGGAGGCTCGTATCATGACCCCCCCCCCCCCCCCCTTTTCCTTGTCCTCGACCCCTGTGGGTATCGGTCCACCTTCCCCACTAAACCTAATCTGGGTTAGCTGGGGTAACGCCGTAACGGCGGTACGTCCCTCGAAGGGTTACATCAAACCCTGGAAATCCAGCTCCACCACCACTGGGATGTACCCAAGAAGCATGGTCAACTGGCCTTGACCCGTTCCATCTACTCGTTCTGGTGGCAGAAACTAACACAAAGCATCAGCCATTGCGCAAATGGTCTCGAACAAGCCTAAGCAACGGGTCTCTTTCCGTTCGAGCCATCACGTTGTTCTTCGCGTCTTGTTTCATTAGCCGGTAGTCGGCTGCTCGCCGCGTGGTGGAGCGGCTGCACCAATCGAGTCAAAACCTCCCGGCTCTTTTGACATGTCTTGGCCAAGAGCTGAAATCCCAAGGAGTTGGGACGATGACGGGAGCTGCTTGCGCCTAACACACAATGCCCTCGTGGCGGATGGAAATGTGATAGTGGCCGAATGTAGCTCTAGGCATGCCTCGCCTGCAATCGTGAAGCATTACGTGGCGCGCGTGCATGGCATTGTTTGAGCGATGCAGGACAACAGGACAGACTTCATCCGCTTGATGTTAGGAGCAATGCAGAGAGGTTGGAATATTGAAAATGCCAAAAGCATGCCAGCAATATTGACACCGTCTTATCCATCCAGGAGGAGTCATATAAGGGGACACGCGCGGTTACGAGGCGATGCAAAGCCTTTCGTCACATGCATGGCTTGCATCGCGAATGTGGGTGAGAGGCTTGCGGCTGACCATCCATCGGCTGGATCTCTCAGTGGCTTTAGCCACACCACGTACCCCATAAAATTTGTGAAGACCTTAGCAGCCTTTGTCAGTTGGTGGTCAGACGGGATGCGGAAAGCTTGTAAAGAACGGGACGGGCCCGGGTCAGCCTCATAATCCGCTGCCTCAGCCAGTGAAGCTTGAGATGCCTCAAAGAAACGCCCATAGAACCGACGGCGATGGTGTTTCCTATTTTTGGTCTAACAGAACACGCATGTTTCTCCTGCACAAGTCGTTTGTTTCTTGGGCGGCATGTATCCATTCTTACTACCCAAGGTAGCCGTGCAGTTGGGCCTGCAACTGCGCAAAACTGGCACCTGCCTGGGTAGGTAGTGTGGATCGAGAAAGATGGGAAATCTCGTATTACCTAGCACTTGCCTGCTCCGCGATACTGATACACGGAAACCGGAACAATGTACGGATACAGGTAGGTAGGTAGGTAGGTACCTAGACAGGTACGTATTGCTGCGGTGCGTTTTCGATGTCCTAACAAGTACAAGTAAGTACCTTTTAGCCTTTCAACTGGCTGACAATAGCTACTTTGCCCTCCACACACTCGATAATGCACCCCAAATAACCCTTAGGTTACCTCTCCGCTCCCGCTCCCACTCGCCGCCTGTTGGACGACCTGACACGTCGTCCTGCCTTACCTACCTACCCATGTCCCTACCTGGGTACCTAGTGTACTAATCAGCCAGTTACCTAGAGAGGTACGGATAAGAACTAGCAGCCAAAGACCCCTGGTGCCCTGTCTAGCAAGATAGGTAGGTAAGCCGACTAGTCTCGATGGAGAAATAGGTACGTACTTCCAACGGTGGTCCTTGCGCCCAGATCCCAGAAGAAAAGCGCATCTTGGAAACGACGACGAGCAACTCACTCTCGCTTTCAACTCTGGGCTGCCGACGAATCGAAGCGGCAGACGTGGATGCGCACGCACCTTCCAACTTCTCTACATCCTATACTAATCTCCACATAGCTTATCGTCTAGACCTCGTCTACCCATACAGTCGCCGCCGCCTCTTGGTTTCAATCAAGCCTTTGGCCCTCCCAGTCGGGCCAGTCCGGCCCCCTCGTGCTCTCTTGGTACGATTCGTCCCTCTCCGCCTCGAAACGCTTAGACGACATGGGAAACGAAGACAAATATTACCCGGCGCTACTATGCCTGTGGCAATAGCGAACAACGGCACGACTAAAATGGGCTGTGGAAGTTGACGGAGCCTTGGGCTCGGGCACAAAGGAAATAGCCACTATTCATGGCTAGCGCCTGGTCCTTTTCCCATTATCCTCATGGCTCAGACGCGTCGAGATTTTCATCGGCCAAAGCCTCCCCGCCTTTCCATCGGCTAACGTCTCGACGTCTTTCCCATCCCCTTCTCAGAGGCCGCGGCGGCAAGAAAGAGGTCGGCTCCCAGCCCCACGCAGCCAAGTTCCCATGCTACTTGGTACATGCTGCGAGTGCAGCCCACACGGCCCATCTAGTACTCCCAGATAGCCTTGCTTGCTCCTTTTCGAGCCAAGGCTTCATGCGAACGTGGCACTCCTGGCCGTTGTTCCGTTCTGCCTTGAGACATCACCCCCTGGTCCACGAGATCTCCTCTCTCTCCTGAGTGGGAGGAGCTGACCTGAGCCTAGTCGGGTCTATCGCCTGCCCCCCAGGGGTCCTCACCTTAGTATTGATTTGCCCGCCGTCACTTTGAGGGTCTGCGCTTCGGATCGAAACTCATATATACCTCTGTCGATCCCGGGTCCATCATGACTTCCTTTCCCTCCTCACTCCCAACTTCACCACATTCTTTAGAACCTTCTTCTTGTGTAGGTTTCTGCCTCTTGGCACACACTCTTTGTCACCATGAGGACCACACAGATGTCATTCGCTTTTCTCTCCACATTCGCTCTTGTTAATGCCGCCGCCACTCCCCCCAGCATCTACAGGCGTGCCCCCGCTCCCCCGACTCTCGCTAACGGATATGCCTACCAAGGCTGCTATGTCGACGTTGGCCGCACAATCAGTGCTGCCCAAACGGCTAATGGCCAGATGAGCAACGACGCTTGCACTGCCTACTGCTTCAGCAAGGGCTTTGCCTACGCCGGCACCGAGTATGCTAACGAATGCTACTGCGGAAACTCTTTGGCCAAGGGTGGCGTTCTCGCCAACGAGGCCGACTGCACCTCCGTGTGCAGTGGAGATGCCACTCAGCCCTGCGGTGGTCCCAACCGCCTGTCATTGTACAAGACTTCTCAGATCACGGGTCCCTCTGTGAACCCTGGTGTCGGTGATTGGAGCTCCATTGGGTGCTACGCGTAAGTTCATGGACCCTTTACACTCTGCAGCCCAAGGCTTGGAAGCTAACCCCGTTGCAGCGAGGGAACTACAGGTCGCGCCCTCACCTACGGTGTAGGCACCGTCCCTGCCGGCCAGATGACCGTCGCCAAGTGTACCGCCGCGTGTGCCGCTGCCAACTTCATCCTGGCTGGTGTCGAATACTCTGGAGAGTGCTGTAAGTCGACACTGCAGTACAACAAGCCCTAGCGAGTGTCTAACATTTCGTAGACTGTGGCAACAGCTTCGCCAACGGTGGTGCTCCCGCCGCCGATGGCTGCAGCATGGCTTGCAACGGCAACTCTGCCGAGTACTGTGGTGGTCCCAACCGTCTGAACGTCTATGACTTCCAGAACAAGTACCAGTCTCCTCCGGCCACCTCCACCTCCGCCGTGGTCGCCTCGTCCGCCGACCCTGTAGTGTCCGCGGCGCCTACCTCGACTGTCCCCAGCCAGCCACCGACCGTCGGCAACTGGAAGTTTTACGGATGCCAGACCGAAGCAACCAACGTCCGTGCGCTCAACAGCAAGACCTTTGCGGCCGACACCATGACGTTGGAGAGTTGTGCGACTTTCTGCGCCGGCTTCACCTTTTTCGGCGTCGAGTACTCTCGCGAGTGCTACTGCGGCAACTCCTTCTCTGCCGGCTCTGTCGCCGCTGCCGCCGGCGATTGCTCCATGACGTGCATGGGCAACAAGCTCGAGTACTGTGGAAATGGCAACCGCCTGTCTGTTTACACCATTGGCGATGCCACCCAGCCCAGTTCGTCTTCCGGACCTTCTCCTACGTCAAGCGCACCGGCAGTCCCCATCGCCACCGGCTTGCCTGCAGGCTGGACAGACCAAGGCTGCTGGGTCGACAACTTGAACGGTCGCATCCTTCCCCAGCAACTTCAAGAAGACCCCAACATGACGCTTGCCTCCTGCGCCCAGGCATGCGCGGCCGCAGGCTACACTGTTGCTGGTGCCGAGTATCACACACAGTGTTTCTGCGGCAATGCCGTCTACGCTGGCGGTGCTGTTGCTTCGGACCCCACAACCTGCAACACTCCTTGTGGAGGCAAGCCTGATCAGATGTGCGGTGGTCCCAACCGCATGACCATCATGTCCAATGGCAAGCCTACAGTCTACCAGCCCCCTGTCCCCCAAACGAGTGGTTTCAATGGCAGCTGGGCCTACCAAGGCTGCCTTACTTATGAGGGCACAACGCGTCCTCTCAAGTGGCAGGTCCTCTTCCCAGGCGTCAACACTGCGAACCTGTGCCTGGATCGGTGCGCGCAGTTTGGGTACGCGGCGGCCGGTCTCGAGTACGGCGAGGAGTGCTACTGCGGTGATCCAGCCAACATCGCAGCCGCCCCCCCTCCGGTCAGCTTCGTCCCTGATACGCAGTGCAACATCGTCTGTCCCGGCAACGCAAGCGCCATTTGCGGTGGTGGCACTCGTCTCTCCATGTACTATTGGACCGGCAAGCCTCTCTACTCGTGGGATTTTGGTACGGACGCGCTCACGGCAGGGTCCTACGAGCTTCTCATCGGCGGTGTCTGCATTCCCCTGATGACCATGGAGACCATCACTGGCAAGGTCACCTTCCTCGAGAAGTTCGGTACCGGACCGCCCAACTCCACTGGCGCTTACGAGCTCGACCTGTCCCTCGTCCCGGACATCAGCACGTCCTGGAGACCCATGCACGTCAAGACGGACGTCTTCTGCTCTGCCGGCATCACTCTCCCCGATAAGGCAGGCCGCCAACTCAACCTTGGTGGTTGGTCTGGTGACTCTACCTACGGTGTCCGCCTTTACTGGCCCGATGGCAAGCCCGGAACCCCTGGCACCAACGACTGGCAGGAGGATGTCGAGCATCTTCGCATGCAGGATGGCCGCTGGTACCCCTCTGCCATGATCATGGCCAACGGCTCCATCTTCGTTATTGGAGGCGAGGAGGGCTCCAACGGTGCAGCTGTGCCTACCATCGAGGTCCTGCCTTTTACCGGCACCAAGCCCCTCACCATGGACTGGCTCGCGCGCACCGACCCCAACAACCTGTACCCCTTCGTTGCCGTACTTCCCAGTGAGAACATCTTTGTTGCTTACTGGAACGAGGCCAGAATCTTGGACAAGACCACATTCGACACCATCAGTGTTCTTCCTCTGATTCCCGGTTCCGTGAACAACCCCAAGGCGGGCCGTACCTACCCGCTCGAGGGCACTGGCGTTCTTCTGCCCCAGCACGCCCCTTACACCGATCCTCTTGGCGTTCTCATCTGCGGTGGCTCCACCGACGGCCCTGGTCTTGCTTTGGACAGCTGCGTTTCGATCGAGCCGGAGGGTGCCAACCCCCAGTGGGTGCTCGAGCGTATGCCTTCGGTCCGTGTCATGTCCTGCATCGCTCCTCTTCCCGACGGTACATACCTCATCAACAACGGCGCTCAGCAAGGTGTTGCCGGTTTCGGTCTTGCCACAAACCCCAACCTCAACGCTCTCCTGTACGATCCCCGGAAGCCAATCGGCCAGCGAATCACGGTCATGGCCAACACCACCATTGCCCGTCTCTACCACTCCGAGTCCATTACCCTCCTCGACGGCCGTGTTCTCGTCAGTGGATCCGACCCCGAAGATGGTGTCCATCCCCAGGAGTACCGCGTCGAGGTCTTCAACCCTCCCTACCTGACCAGCAAGAAGCAGCGCCCTACATTCACCCTCCCCGTGACTGACTGGGCTTACGGCAGCACATACACCTTCAGCCTCGGCCATGCTCCCGTCAACGGCGCAATCCAGGTCTCTCTCCTCGGCTCCGTGTCTTCGACGCACGGCAACTCGATGGGCGCCCGCACGATATTCCCCGCCGTGAGCTGTGGCCCTACTCAATGCACTGTCACCGCGCCGCCCGGCCCCGGTGTTGCCCCTCCGGGGTGGTACCAGTTCTTCGTCCTCGACGGTGGAATCCCTGCCGTCGGCGTTTACGTCCGCATCGGCGGTGACCCCGCCGGCCTCGGCGCGTGGCCCAATGTCCCGGGCTTCAAGACTCCTGGCGTCTAAGCTTTTTCATTTTTATCAGAGACATGACTTCCTTTCTCTATGGGGGGGTTCTTGGGGTTCATATAGGTCTTTTCTCATTTTCATAAGCGATATCCTTCTCTTCTTTTCCTTGAAACCTTTTACAGACTTGGGGACCCCGTCACATTTTCGGCATGGGTGCCTCACAGTCGCCACAGAAAATATGATTGGGAGCTTTCAGGAAAGACTACACACACTGAGGATAGTGTAGCGATGAGGATGGGGGCCAATCTCCTGCAACGAGGCCGCAGTCGGTGTTTTTCCTAGATAGTATACAAATTGATAATGTTTTTACTCTATCACATTCTCCCACTGTTCGTCGTGCTTGACTTCGTCACCATCTCAACCGGTCTAGGCAAACTTAAAGCCGAGCTCGACAAGAGCCTCCTCCCATTGGCAGTAAGTAGAAAACCTAGAGGAGCCATCTTGAGTTCAAGTTCGATCGTGCTCCAGGGAACAATGACTGCTGTTTCTTCGGCGGGCGCCTATGAAGTTGTAGCTCTGGTCTCAGGCCTTCCTAAACTGTTACCTATGCTGCCCTGGCCGTGGCGCGGCGAGGACGCCACTCCGGCGGTGACCCTCGGTGTTGCTGGTTCCATCCTGCATCCTGCGGTTCCTGGCAGAGCAGAGCTGCAGCAACGGACGCCTGTCAGGAGATTTCGAAACAGCCCCAAAACCAAGACTTTGCCGACCTTTTTTGGCCAGGGACGATTCCGAGGTGTTTCTCTGAACTCGCACAGAGCGGGACACAGTCTGAAAGCGGCCCCGAGCTGAGGTAAGGTTGCCGGGGGGGTGTAACGTACGGTGTGCAACCCCGCCAGCGGGAAAACACCCCACCATAACTGTGGCTTCCAAGGCACCCGTCCTGCACCTTTGACGTAGCCGGGCCCAAGCAGCAAAAGGAAATGGTCGGGTATCCCGTGTAAACAAAAAGCAGGAAACGACCCGGTGAGGCATACACACAATCTCCAACGGAAGAACTCATTCTCAGGCGGTACCCCTCCACCCACGCCCCGCCGACGAAACTACTCCCCAACCGCCAGGCGCTCTCCCATGGAAAGAACACCATCATCATCACAATAAAAAAAAATAAAAACCCAGACCCCACCAAAACTTAAAGGGAAACCCGAAAAGGACATACATAACAACAACTACACCATGCCGCCCCCTTCTCAACTCACCGTCGCGACCCTCTCGGTCACCCGGCTCCTCAAGGAGGAGATCTCCTATGAAAAGGAGCTCATCCAACAGAAGGCCAAGGTCGCCACGCTCGAGGCCGAGATCAACGACGGCAAGCCCGACGAGGACGGGAACCGGGAGTACATGCTCAGGCAGCTGGTGCGTGTGGCCCTCCCTTCCCTCTCCCCTTTCATTTTACCCCTCACGCCTGGACCTTCCAGTCTCGAGACATGGAGCGCCGTCTGCCATGTTTTGCCTCGGACGGGAACAAAGTCAGCTTGAAGATATATATATATATACATGTATATAAAAGAGATGCTGACTAGCTCACGCCCCAGAAACTCGCCGTGGAGGAGACGCAAAAGATCTTTCCCTCCCTGCGCACCCGCGTCGAGGACGCAACCGCCAAGCTGGAGGAGCAGATCGCTCTCGCCGAGAGCGGCGGCGCGGCGCCCGAGGAGCTCGAGACGGCGAAGCTGGCGCTCGCCAAGGGCAAGGAGGAGAAGACCTACGTGACCGACACCACCGGCTCCGCCTGATGCGCTTCTGGTCCCCGTGCTCTTCCCCTTCCTCTGCCTCTTTCTTTTTTTCTTCTTTTTTTTCCGCCGCATGTCAACCAAACAAAAAAGGGAGATGGGTCTAGCGATTGCGTTTTGTCGGGTGACGGGCAAGCAAGCGCCGCGGAGCAAGTTCAGACGAGCTGCTTTTTTTTTATCAATGGGTATCTCAGTTGAACTATCTATGAGCCTCTCCGGGTCAGTTGTGATTTCCCCGTGTCTAGTTGTCAACCTCCATGCTGTCGGGCGCATCCACCGTGATGTAGGGTGTGTCGCCTCCGGAAGTGATCTGAGTGTCCTGTTGATCATCCATCTCGACGTCCTCTCCCTCTTCAATCTCATCATCGTCATGTTGGGGACGGGGCGTGCCGTTCTGGCTCGGGACCGCGCTGCCAGACCGCGAGAAGCTGCCCGTGCCACCCGGCCGCGGCTTGAGACCGTCCGCCTGCTCCTCCGACTGGCCATCCAGCGCCGAGGTCGGTCTCGCCGCCGCACCGCTGTCTGGATGCGGCGTGACGTTGCCGCTGGAGACGTGCCGGGGCGTCTGCCCGTCCCTCGAGGCCTCGCCGTCCTCCTCGCCGTCCTCGTTCATGCCTTCGCGCCTCTCGACCTCCTCCTTCTCGTCGCGGATCTGCCTGCGCAGCAGCATGCCCTCGTCCATGATCTTGCTGAACTGGTCGCGGCGCTCGCGCCAGGTGACGGCGTACGTCTCGCTCTCCTTCTCCAGGTCGCGGATCTCCTCCTCGAGCTTCTTCAGGTTCGACTCTTGCTCCCCGCGCGGCCGCAGGCCCTTAGCCATGAGCGCGTTGGCGAGCTTGTCGTACTCCTTGCGCTGGGCGAGCGTGGCCTTGGCGCCCTCGAGCTGCTCGCGCAGCCGCGCGTTGTTGGCCCGGACGTTCTGGCACTCCTCTAGGATGCGCTGCTGGTCGGCCTTGTAGCGCTCGCGCTCGCGGACGTTGGCGTCGAGGAGGAACTGCAGGCGGGCGATGCTGCTATCGAAGGCGGCGAAGTCGAGCGTGAGGTCGTCTTTGATCTGGTCGATCTCGCGGAGGTTCTTGGCGGCGGCCTCATGCTTCGCCGTCTCGCCGTCGGTTCCCGCCTCGTCGTTGGCGTCCTCGGGCGGCGGGGTGGGTTGTTGCTTCAGCTGGGAGTTTGCGATTGTGGTGATGGACACCAGTCTCTTGGTGATTCGTTTGAACGGCTTCTCTTCGATGTTGACCAGCCGCGTCTTATGCAGCTCCTGCTCCTCCTTATCATCCAAGAGATTCCACGACGCCATGGTGCCCTGCTTGTTCTCGAATCCCGCGTTGGCTAATCGAGTGGTCGGGGTGGTGGTTATGGTGGTGGTGGTGGTGGTGGTGTTGGTCGTCAAGGGTCAAACCGCGTCTTGAGCTGTTCACTAAGGCCCTGTCGTTCGACAATGACTTCAGGATAGGTCTGTTCGTGCTTTGAGGGCATGGAAGATCTCCTACGCGGTGCAGCGCTAAGGGCCAGATGCAATTCTCGGCCTGATATCAACGCTCGAGATGGTTAGATCTTCACAAAAGTCAAAAGAAAGCTTCCTTCCCATACTTTCTCTCTCAGCCTTGCCGTAGGAGCCATTCTTAGTTGGGATTGGTTGGTGGATCTTTAGCGCCGTTAAAGTGGATATCATGTGCTTGTCTCCACTTGCACCCCCCCCCTCCCCCCCCCCCCCGGGAGCAAAGTCAAAGCGTCCCCGTCCAAGGCGCTGTGATCTCATCTTCTACCCTGCAACAACACAAAATACCTTCGATCGCAATAGTAATAACTCTTTCGGCAAACCCACCGAACTTAGTCTTACGATACTGCGCGACTTTCTTGGTAGAAGAAAATGCCCTCCCAGGAGGAACAAGAATTGCTGGCCAGGATCGGCCAACTTGCTGGTACCGTCTCACAACTAACAAACAGCGAAAATTGCGCGGATTCTAATCTGGTGGCAAATAGGCAAGATCAACCTCCACAAGGCTCAGCAGGCCGGCGTACAATCGGTCCCGAGCAGCCAGGCCTCCTACAGCTGGAGTACGTCCAATACTTCTACCCAGGGGCCGTCCCGACACTCACACGTCGTAGACAACACTCACCGACACGGCGGCTTCCCCCATAAGCATCGCGTCGAGCCTTACCCCTCAACCCGAGGGCCCTCGGGGTTTCGCCACCGATCTTTGGTGCTGAACAACAACGGTGGCACGCAAACGCCGCCGTCCGACTCGCTCACGCCCGAGGCCTCGGGCGGCTCAGGCGGGTCATCCGGCTCTTGGATTTCTAAGAACACCCGTGGCCAGAGGTCGCTGATCAACTCTGCCGTCTACGAGAAGAACAATGAAGCGCACGTTAAGGCTATCGAGGCATCGCGGCAGCGGAAGAACCGCCAGCAGGATGCGCACGAGCAGTCGCAGCTTGCTAATCACTTCCATCGCTACGGAGGCCAGGCAAGAATGCCGCCCACCCCTACTAACGCCACAGCTACAGGCAATCACGAAGTTGAGATTCAAGGCATTCGTTTCCGCGTCGCTCACAGCGGAAGCAAGCTCATCAAGGTGTCGGGTGCGTCGCCACGTCTCTCCTGCCAGGCAGGGTACACTCACAGTCTCATAGGAGATCTCCATCCCGTCAGCGCGACGCCGAAGGTCGCCTTTGTCGGAGGTGTCAAGTTTCACCGAAGCAAGACCGGCAATCTGTACCGAGCCGGTGTGCTCAAAGCTCAACGGTACGATGGCCCTTTTCATGATCGACAACCGCTAACTTTAGTTACTTGCCCAGCCAAAACGGCGTCAAGAAGGTCGACGTGCCTTGCAGCATGTTTTCGCTGACTGGTATTTCATTCACAATCTCATCCGGCTACCCACCCGTTATCCGCTCAAACAGGCTGGACGATTTCTTAGGCATGTGGGTATGAGTACTGGACACCACTAACCACGACGATTTTCAATCTAGGTTCATGCGCCAAGGGCCCGGCCTGCCGATACGTCCATGACGCTTCGAGAGTGGCCGTCTGCCGAGAGCTGCTGCACAAAGGGAACTGCGCCAATGGGGAGTCTTGTGATCTTTCCCATGACTTGACGCCCCAACGCACCCCAACATGCGTCCACTTCATCAAGGGCAACTGTGCGAATCCCAACTGCCCCTATGCTCACTCTAGTGTGTCCCCAGGTGCCCTGGTCTGCCGTTCGTTTGGTATGTACGGCTACTGCGACAAGGGAGACGAGTGCGAAGAGCGGCATGTCTTCGAGTGCCCCGACTTCAGCAACACGGGCAAGTGTAAGAAGAAGGGCTGTAAGCTCCTTCACCGCGAGAGGGCAAGCGTCCTTCGGAAGCGCACGTCCGAGGACGAGACGGAGGATCTGTCGAGCGATGCCGAGTCCGTCGACAGCGACGACGTGGACTCGGACGAGGTCGAGGAGTTTATCACCGACGGCGTTGGTGATGATACTGACTTCAAGGTCCAGAAGGACTTTATCTCTTTCTGATCGTGATCTCGTGCCACCTATGGAGAAGGCCGTTTCGGTTCATCTCTTTTACTGACATGTTTGCTATCCACTCCATGAGGGAGTCCAGGCTAGGGAGATGCCGAGTCGAGTCTCATTTATGGCGGACGTCTGCCAATCGCGGGAACGACTGGGGAGAACAACAAACGATACCCCCGGAGAAGAAGAAAACGACTGGAGCATTAATACCATGCTTTCAGAAGATGAAGCTGCTGAAGCAGAACCATGATAGAAAGGATAGAGACAAAAGAGAAATATTGGAACAAACTTGTTTTCACCATACCATGGCCGACAATAGTGACAAGTGATGTATACCGATCAGCATTTGATTATATACTACGGAGTACGTAGGCTGTAATTGGTGAGAAAGAAACTGGTGAAATTAGGGAAAGCCACCATGCAGAAAAGTGTCGTGTCGGGGGCGGTGACAGCGAAATTTTGACCTTGGCCCAGCATCATTTCGCCGTGCGGGCCGACCCCCATCTGGCCTGGGACCGGGTGTCTCAATTATATCAATTAAAATTTACCCCGCCATCCGTCATCCCAAGTGATTTTTAAATTTTGTGCTTCTTTTGCCACCCCCTGTAAACCTCCTGAATTCAGATGTCATTGTTTTGCTCGCGCTGACACATACGCATCTCAAAAAAACACTTCTCGTTATCACTACTAGTAACGTACTTGGATCTACCTGAATGGCGCCCCCTCATTGAATCGTGGGGGGGGGGGGGGGGGGGGGGGTTTCAGCGCCACAGATGTACGGTGACTGAGAGCCCTCTGTTCTTGGGTCAGACGCTTGCGAGACGCTAATCGGGTCCCCAAGGGTGGCCTTGTTGGAGGAAGTGCACCGCCCCTTGTTGGAGGGCACTGTACCATCCAGTTTCCGGGCTGTGGATTGCACTGCATGCGACCGAGTCGTCACCAACTTAACCAAGCCTCCTTTTCTCACGAGGACTTGATGTTTATTCTTTTTCCGACCAGATATATACATTCTTCTTCTGCTTTACTGTGCCTTTGTCTCCTTCCTCTTCTCCAGTTTTAATACGTGTCCGTCGGGATCGCACTAATCGTCAGACGTCATCATGGGTTTACGCGACGTCCTCAAGAAAAAGGAACACCTCGAGCATGGCGACACCAGCAGCCAGGATGCCGTAGACAGGCTGGCCGCCCCCGAATTCAAGTTCATCCGATCAGATACCCATTCGCAAGAGGTCATCCACCCCCCGAGCGCGCCGACGGGCGAAAGTAAGGATCAGCTCCTGAACCCCAACGAAAGCCCCGTCGACCAGAAGCCCCGGCGCAGCCTCGATGTCTTCTTCGGTAGCCGATCGCGCAGCGTCTCCGCGTCGTCCCAAACGAGCACGACGTCCGCCAGGAGAAGCGGAAGACGGCTGTCGGAACGGCTGCACCTCAGCCGCTCGCCCGCCTCGTCGGACAACGTCCCGCAGAACCTACCCGACATCGTAACCACGGCCGAGGGCGAACAAGACGAGCTGCAATGGGAGAAGCGCGCGACGATCCTGGCGTCGGCGAACAAGAGCAGGCCAGAGACCCCGGCGGTTGGCGGGGAGTCTGGGAATACGACGACGAGGGGGCGGTCCCTGAGCGCGGCGGTGTCGTCCCCGGCCATAGACGAGGACATCCAGGAGGCCATCCGGCTGCACGAGGCGGGGGATTTCGAGAAGTCGACAGCCATGTTTGCCCGTCTGGCCGATCCTAAAGGGGCGAACAACACCCTTAGCCAGTTTCTCTACGGTCTCGCTCTGAGGTGAGTTGGATTGGTCTGGACTGGCCTGGGCCCTGCGCGGCAACGTTGATCGTGCCTCTCCGCGCCTATGGGGATGTTCCCATGCGCGAGTGTCATGGCTCGCCAGGCGATCACATTGCGCCGGAGACTTCGGCAACGCTCTACAGGTGCCACGATGGCCAGATGCTTTGGTTTTCAATGACGCGGCTTACTGATCAGTGGCTGTTGGCAGACACGGCTGGGGCTGCGAGCCTGATCCAGAAGGGGCGATCAAGTACCTCTCTGCGGCGGCATCGAACGCGGCAAACGTTGAGCAAATGGCGTTGAAGGCCGGCCTGAAGAAGGGAGGCGCCGCCAAAGGCGAGCTCGTTCTGGCCATCTTCGAGCTGGCGAACTCCTTCAGGCACGGCTGGGGGACCCCGAAGGACCCAATCGCGGCTAAGCAAGTGAGTTGAGCCGTCCACAGGACAACGGAGGGCGAAAGAACGCCGCCGAAGTCGTAGTTATGCCTGAGCGGCTAGAACTGACATGCCGCGGCAGTACTATGAGACAGCGGCGAATCTTGGAGACAGTGGTGAGTATGCCCCGATGGTTCGTTGCTGGGCGTCGAGGCCCGATGCAAACATATTGGGTACGCTAACCAGCCTCGCTCTTCTCAGACGCCATGAATGAAATCGCCTGGTGCTACCTCGAGGGCTTCGGCTGCAAAAAGGACAAGGTACGTTTGGTCATATACCTACCACCCGTTCCTTCGTGATGATGCGTCCATCCGAGCTGGCAAACCAAGACCTGGGGCTTGGTCCCTGGGCCAGGACAGCATCAGCCACAGCAGCCCCCGTGTTATGCATAGCTCGTATCAGCAAGTGCACATGTCATGGGACGAGTGCCGATGCCCGTTTGACAACCATTTGGGGTCGTCGGCAAAGCTGCTTGGTCGGGGTTGGGCATCAACACAGCGGCCGCGAAAAGCAGCCACCACTCGGCACCCGCGCGCAAGACGCATGGTCAATTCCATCACATGAGGCTGACAACATGTCCAGTTTGCAGCAGCCCGTTACTACCGGTTGGCCGAAAAGAACGGCAACAAAACACTAGGCAACTCCTGGTAAGTCTTGCCCGTCACTTTATCCCACTGGCTTTCGTGCGCGGGGGGGGGGGTTCCCCAGAGTTGGGCTTGGCGTATGTATCACTCAGGGGGGAGAGGGCTGCAGCTCCTGTCGCGGATGACTCTCGTGCTGCGGCATTGATAGGCTCGCGAGGTCTCCGGCCCCTTGGCGTGGCAGCTCGCCCTGCTTTCGTCCTCTTGGATGACAGTAAGCTTCCAGAGCTGCACGTAATTACCTGGTGCTGCTGCAAGCTGTACTGCGCTGCACCGCAGCCCTTGAGCGCAGATACCCCGAGTCTCGATGCCGCTTTCCGAGTGGTGCATCGCGATCTCTTGCCGGTTTCCTCTGTATTCCCGTTCCTGACGCCATCGCCCCATGACCTGGCGCCAGTGTGATCTGACCACCATGCTCTGTAACACAAAGACTGACGAGAGCCCCCTCCCCCTCAACAGGATTTGGAAGGAGAAGTACAACCCGGGTGCGGGCAAAGAGAAGAAGTAGCAGGCACAACGGGTAGAAGTTGTCCGAGAGGAGGGAGAAGGGGGGACTACGACTACCTACGTGTGCGCAAGACGGCCGAACCATCGGTGACACGGCGTCGCATACTCGAAACGGGTGTGTGCGGACGGCGGCCCCGTGCAGCCCCGTCGGCGACTCCCTTTCTTCCTGCCGCACGGTGCCACCGACGCGCAAGATCGTCACACGGCACGGCGGGTGCGCACCCTCCCTGAACCGCGCTGAAAAGCGTTGCTGTAGCCGGGCACGGTACGGAATACAGAATACAGCACCACGAAAACAAGGAGCTTGTTTGTTTATCTGCCCCTCTTCCCCGTCACCCCCTCCCCCCCCCCCCTTCCTTTTGAGCGACTCTTGAAAGACTGTATGGGGAGGACGGAGATGGCAATTCAGGTGACGCAAAACGTACAACAGCGAATGGATGGTCGATAGGCCTATGCTGTGCGCCGTGGAGGGGCCTGCAGGTCTTGCGTGCTGTGGGGGGGGGGGGGGGGGGGGGGGCTGGGCGGAGTGAAGAAGACGGGGGAGAGCAGGGCAGCTGTCGCGGATAGGTTCGGGGCCTTTGTCTTGGACGCATGCCGCGCCAAGCTGGCTTTTTCTTTACTGGCTGAGCCATGCATACACACACACACACACACACACACACACACATGTACACATACGGCTTGTCTTGGGAAGAGTGGTTGTGGGAGGTTCACTGCTTGGGTACACTGAGGAGTTATCTTGAGGACCGGGAAGGGATGCGCTACCATCGTCCCTTTTTCTTGTTCTGGAGCTATTTATTGTTTAAACATACCCTGCACGTCGCCATGCCGGATGCTCCACGGCCAATAATAGAAATTGAGATCTACCTTGCTTTTTCTTACTGACTCGACTGTTCCGGCCGGGGGCGGAGACGGAGACGGAATAGGCAATCATCGGCACCCGGGGGTGGGTGGACCTCTTCCCCTTGTTTGCGACGCCCGGCGGCTGTTCTCGGCCGGCCCGAGACAGGGCCCCTCCCGACGTCTTACAACCTCACGGGCTCGCCGTGTGCATCGTCGCATCGTCCCTCCCCCTCCCCCTGAAAGAAAGATGGGAGAGAAGGAAGGAAAGAGGGCTCGGAAGCCGCTGCACGGCCGAGTCATATCGACAACGCGGACGACGGGGCTCTCGCGGACCTACCGTCTTCAGGCTCCATGGCCCCCTTTTCCGACGCGAGGAAGAAGTGGTCTCTGCCCCGTTCCTCTGCTCCGACCCATTTTGCGAAGCTCCCGTGGAGTCGGGGGCACAGATGGGCGTAGGGCCAACCTGTACGGAGGGGTGGCCGCGGTTCCTGGACGGGGGTTTGCAGGCAGCTTGGATGGGAGAGATACACCGGGGGGGACGGTGCGATGTACTCGGTGAGACAGCCAGCCCCCGCGACAAGACACTGCTGGCGCCCTGCATTCCTGGCAGCACTTGCACCTGGCTACAACGTGGGACTCACGCACGGAAGACCGGGAGGGCCAGTCACGTCTTCTTGGGGCGTCAGGGGAGAGAAGAGGACTATTGTCGTACCGTTTCCCAAGTCCATTGCCCTCTCTTCTGACCGTTTCTTACGTGACGTCCCGTCCCGTCCTCCTCCGTCGCATGCC